GACTGTCATACAGAGTGAAGTAAGTCAGAAAGAGAAAATCAAATATTGCATATTAACGCATGTGTGTGGAATCTAGAAAAATGGTACAGATGAACCAGTTTGCAAGGCAGAAATAGAGACACAGATGTAGAGAACAAAAGTATGGACAGCAAGGGGGGAAAGTGGGGGGAGGGGGGTGCTGGTGGTTTGAATTGGGAGATTGGGATTGATATGTATACAGTAATACATATAAAAGAGATATTAATAAGAATCTGCTGTATAAAAAAAGAAAATTCAAAAAAAACCCCTTGTTTATGATTCCTCATGCTTTCAGTGTTTAATATAAGCTTTCTGGGACATAATTTAAACACATTTTAACAGATAATAACAGGATTTTAAATTCTAAAATTGTTTTGTTCAGCCTGTTGATAAGAGCTATTGCATCTTGCCATAAAAGCTACTTTTATTAATGTTGAACAAAGAAAAATGATCAGTATTGCATCTTTTCATTAAAACCTGGGTAATATATACAAAGAGGAGTGCATATGGCTTTTCCCCTGTTTTGTTTCTTCCTCTTTGTTCTTCTGACTGGAGTTCTTGGGCCTATGTCTTTTTTCCTGACTTTTTTAGTTTCTGCTCTTGCTAGGTACTGTGTCCACTTATTAGACCTTTGTATTAGTCAGAGTTCTCCAGAGAAACAGAACCAACAGGGTATATATTTGGAGAGAAAGAGATTGTAAGGAATTGGCTCACTCAATCATGGACACTGAGAAGTTCCACAATCTGCAGTCCGCAAGCTGGAGGCCCAGAAAGACTGGTGGTGTGGTTCCAATCTGAGGCTGAAGGCCTGAGAATCAGGGGAGCTGATATATAAGTCCCCGTCTGAGTCCAAAGGCCTGAGAACCAGGAGAAGACCAAGGTCCCAGCTCACCAGTCAGGCAGAGAGCTAATTCTCCCTTCGTTCACCTCTTGGTCTATTCAGGCCCTCAGTGGATTGGATGATGCCATCCACATTGGAGAGGGCAGTTATTCAGTCCACTGATTTAGTGCTAATGTCATCCAGAGACACCCTCACAGATACATCCAGAAATAATATTTAATCTAGGCACCCTGGGGCCCAGTCAAGTTGACACATAAAATTAAACATCACAACTTTGTTAATATTATTTATTGTATCCAGCACAGTTCCTGACACACAGTAGGTACACAATAAATGCTTGAATGGATGTGGCTGCAGAGTTGTACACTGCTGCACCTTTGTAAACTACTTCAAATCACTCTTGCAGCTAAAGAGAAGGTGTAGGGGAGAGTTCTTTCCCCTAGCAAGAGTGGCAGCATAGAGGAGGCAGACCTTAGGTTAGAGTCAGTTCCCAAGTCAGAAGTTGTATGTTGTTAAAATTGCCGAAATCCCTTAATTTTTCCATAGCATAATGAGAGGCTCTTAAAAGAGACTTCTGGAAACAGGCTGGCCTAAGAACTGTAGGTCTGCTTTTCCCATCTCATGCTCACTCCTTGGTATGTGCTCGTTAGGTTGCATTTCAGGGACATTGCCTACACTGTTTTAAGCCCCCTACTCACTACCACCAAGTGACATATGGTGAGATCCTGCTGAAAAACTGGTGTGTAGTGGTTAGAGAACATCACTTGTCAGGAGTCGTGGGTCTTCCATTTGTTAGCTGTGACCTTGGGCAAGACTTAAGACTCAGAAATGATAATAGCAATAGCAGAACCAGCTGATGTTTGTTGAGAATTTACTATGGCTAGATGTAAATGCTAAAGATGGATTTCTCTTATTTAGTCCTCATAACAATTTTATCAGGTAGATACTAGTATAATTACCATTTTATAGATAGGGGAAATGGCACTGGTGCTAGCCCATAGTCACATGGATGGTCGACCCAGGATTTGAAATTGGCATTTTACTTCAGAGTCTCAGCTCTAAGCACTAAGTCATGTGCTTCGCAGGATTGTTATATTTAAATTAGTTTAGGACATTTAAAGTTGTAGCCAGCGTTTACTAGATAGAAACTCCTCAATAAATCTTAGCTATTACCATATAGATTCTCAGCCCTATCAGACTTAATAACCCTTTTTTATAACCAATAATTTATATTCCATTTCTTTTTCTAGTCTTAAATGAAATTTGTATATAATGTAGCCTACATAAACACATAATTAAAGAAATCACTATAATATACACTTGCAATGTAAAGGAGAAATGAAAGTAATTTATAGTAAAATAAGTATTTCAAACTGTAAATGTTTGGGCATGATTACACTAGAAGACAATATAGTAGATGCTTATACTTACTTATAATGAACATTTGGATTTTTAAAAAGATCATCAGCAGCAATTTCATACTAGTAGTATTTGAAAACAAAGAAGTAGAGGTATGGTGGATGCTAGAATAAAAGCTATTAGGAGAAGCTAGAACAGTCTTATTTGTATATGACCTTACCATAGTTCCTACATGAATGGCTAGAGATGCATTCAGAAGTTGTATGGTATGTGTGTTGTGTGGAGTTGTATGGTATGTATGTTGTGTGGAACTATCCTTTCCTTTGCAGTACATCGAGCACCATTGGAATCCATCTGCTAAATGACAGTAATGTCCCTTTCTCATTATGACAACCAAAAATGCCTCCATAGGGGCACCCACCCCTAGGGGGCGATATTAGCACCTTTGCAAGCCCTACGTTAGAAAGTTATTAAATGTTTGTTCAGTGAAGAGTTGGCTTGAGAAGTCCATAGACTTAGCATTTGACATCTTGGAGCTTATGGTCTTTTTTGCTAATTATACATTGTATAATTACAGAGTAACATTGATTCCTGCAGACATCATACAAGTTATTGTGTACATTTTAGGAGAGAGAATATAGTAAGTGATCCTTGAAGAATTAGAGGAGTATAGGAAGGCATCCTAAAGTAAAATTTTAATTTTAACTAAAGTTGATGTAGGAGTCTGCTGATATTGTATAGCAAATCAACTTGGTTACAAAATATTTTATTAGAAATTGTTTTTACCAGTGTTTGACCTGGGGTAGCATGCCATATTTATGATTCATAAAGTAAGTTGACCACTTTTTAGAAAGTAAATAAATGATAAAAGTAAGCCTTGTTCATTGCAGAAAAATTGAGAAATACAGAAAACCATATACATGGAAATAAAAAACTCTGGTGACAAGTAATGTGAAAAATTTATTGGTGCTTTCTTCCAGGATTTACTCTATGAATATTTATTTTTTCTAAATAATTGAGATATATATGTGTATATATATGTAATTTATTTTCTTGCAATATTTTTATTTTATATTATCGAATTATTTAAGAAATTTGCATTCAGTTTTGTGGACTAGATAATACATTTAAAAATGGCAGGGACTTCCCAGGTGGCGCAGTGGTTAAGAATCCGCCTGCCAATGCAGGGGATACGGCTTCGATCCCTGGTCTGGGAAGATCCCACATGCCGTGGAGCAACTAAGCCCGTGCGCCACAACTACCGAGCCTGCTCTCTAGAGCGTGTGAGCCACAACTACTGAGCCTGCGCTCTAGAGCATGTGAGCCACAACTACTGAGCCTGTGCTCTAGATCCCGTGCTCCGCAACAAGAGAAGCCACCAAAGTGAAAAGCCTGTGCACTGCAATGAAGAGTACCCCCCGGCTCGCCGCAACTAGAGAAAGCCCGCACGCAGCAACAAAGACCCAACGCATCCAAAAAAAGAAAAAGGGCACAAAATTCTCAGAAGTTACATATATGGTATTATCACCTACTTTTCACCTAACATTATCTTTTTCTGTCACACAGTATTCTTATAAAGGGTAATGCTCAGTGACTCCTTGAACAGGTATAGCATGGTTTAAATAAATATTGCCTTGTTGGATATTTAGGTTGTTTCTGTGTTTTAGATATGAATACATTTCTATTTGAAATGACTGTAATAAATTTTCATCTACAATAATTTCCTTCAGATATATCCTTAAATGTGTAACTCTAGATAAAAAAATCACATTTCTTCTTTAGAACTCTTGAAATGTATTGTTAAATTATGTTCTCAAAAGATTGAGGCAGTTTAAATTAGCACAACAGGTATATTGGTATGTCCACCAAATTGAATTTTTTGTTTGTCTAATGACCAGCTTTATAAGCTAAAAATAGCATCGCATTTTCATGTACCACTCTGATTGCTAGTGAAACTCAGCATTTTTTATATATTAATTGACCATTTGTTATTTTTTGTAAATTTATCTTTTGTATTAATTTGTACTGTCTCTCTTTTAGTATTAAGTTATGTCATATTATACTATTTTCCCAAGATTTTAAAACTTTAGTTCTTTATGATATTTTTGACATTTAGAAGTGTTAAAGTTTTTTAAACATACCAATTCAGTGTCATTTCTCCAACATGAATCATCTTTTTTCTTTTCATCTACTAATCCTTCAAGGCCCAGTTCACATTTCACTTTCTCTGAGGAGGCTTTTCTTGAATACTTCAGTTTACAGTAATAGGTATTAGATATTACACTTATTGTCTACACTTTTGATTTAGTACATGATCATATATATGTATTTCCTATTTATATGGTTCACTAACAAGATCGTAAGGTCTCTGAGAACAGAGTTCATTTTTCTACTATAGCATTTACCTTAAGACTTTGTGTACTAGACGTATTGAATAAGTGAATTTTGATAATAATGAAATGACATTACATCATTAGTGCTCATGACAAACATTGGCAAGCATTTCCTTTTATATTATCTCTCTGGATCACAAGCAAATGATGTAGATAGGATAGGGATTTTCATTCTCATTTTTATGGATAGTTGATAGTTAATTTTCATTATGAATGTGAAAAAAGGTATGAGAAAGAAGCATAACTCTTCTTTTTAAAAACCAAATAAAAGAACAAACTCTTTTGTAGTAGAAGTATGTTCATAATACTATGGTATTGCATTCATGAATATGAAATGAACTATTAATATTCATGCCTAGTCTGAGAATTTATTTTTGTTTCTTTTGCAGTGCCATACAAATTATATTCCTGTCTGTGGATCAAATGGGGACACGTACCAAAATGAATGCTTCCTCAGAAGGGCTGCTTGTAAGCACCAGAAAGAGATAACAGTAGTAGCAAGGGGACCATGCTACTCTGGTATGTGTGATATTCTTCTGAAAAAATGTTAGAAATGGTTCTGCCATACTTTTAAGAGGAAGTTTCCAGTCAGAGGTTTATTCCCAAAACTGCTGTATGGATTGGTGATGATTATGTGGGGAATGGGGGAGCTCTTTTTTGCCTCCATTTCACGTTGCTTTTTTTTTTTTTTTTTTTTGCGGTATGCGGGCCTCTCAGTGTTGTGGCCTCTCGCGTTGCGGAGCACAGGCTCCGGACGCGCAGGATCAGCGGCCATAGCTCAGGGGCCTAGCCGCTCCGCGGCACGTGGGATCTTCCCCGACCAGGACACGAACCCGTGTTCCCTGCATCGGCAGGTGGACTCTCAACCACTGCGCCACCAGGGAAGCCCTCACGTTGTGTTTTAACCCCAGGTAGTCTTGTACTGACTGTTACTTCTCAGGACGTTTTTAATGCTTAATGCTTTTTTTTGGTGGGGACTTTGCATATCTTCTGCCTTATGGTTTGAATATAAGACAGGATAAGATTTGGGGTGGGAAATGCTATGGGATCCATTTTGTTGATTTTTATCTTGGGGGGTGGGGAAGGAGTGGAGAGTATCCATAGGAAGTCATTGGTGGCATCCCAGGATGTGTCTCTGTCCAATCTCTTCTCTTTTTATATCTTCTCATTTCTGTTTGCTAGCCCTAGTCATCCACGTCCCCCAATTGTTTGTATTTTCTTCCTTGTCTTTTCCTTCCTGAATTGGTAATGGTTAATTTTGGAAGGCATTAATATTAGTATCTTACTTGCGTTTGTATTTGGGGGCAGGGATGCAGAGTGAGGTATTGTAATAGAATTATTGTATGAAGGTTAGCAGTAAAGGTGGAGACTATTATACGATTACTCCATTTCCTTTCTCTCCTTGTATATTACAGTGCCTATGTTTTTATTGGGGCTCCATTACATAAGCGTAATTGATTGATGGCCCATGTGGTTGATCTCAAACTCTGGGTACACTAATACCACATGACTCAAAGCCCCCACTCTGAACTGTGTGGTTGGTATTTCTGGTGTGGCCAGCCCTTGCCCTAAGAGTATTGAGTGTGGCTTGTCCCACCCTAAGGTCTGATGTGGTCAACTCCCTTCCTAAACATCGATTGCCTTCTAGAAGCTGAGGGCGAAGGCCAAAACTCTCTTTGGGCAAGGCCAAATTCTTTTCCATACACTAAATAATTAGATGCTCTTAGGCCAATAGACTATCATTTGATGTGGTTCTTATGCACTTCTCTAAGTGCATTATGTTTCACAGACTTAATTTAGTAACTAAAAAGGAATATGGAGTTCTTTATAATCCCAAATTAAATGCATCCTTTATGAGAAGTTTAAGACATGAACTGCTTTGATAAGCAGTGAATATTAAGCATTGGGAGGCAGAGTGGAAAGAGCTGGAAAGAACACTGCACTAAGGTTACAAGACTTGGCTTTAAAGTAACTCCAGCTCTTGTTTACTGTATGACCTTACACAAGTCACTTAGCTGCTTTGAGCCCCAGTTACATACCTAAATTGTGATGGATGTCATCTCCTGGGGTTAAGTGAGAATTGAATGAGCTAAGCTATAAGGTGCTATATTGATTTTGTTATCTTCTGGCTGGGGCCAGGGTTGTTCATGTCATTTGGTCTGGTGTTGGTCCTATTCCCTGTGCTAGGAACAACATTCTCCTTTGCTTATTTGAGAACTTTTTTACGCTTTAAGATTGAGCTTAAGCCTTTTCTACTCTGTGAAATCTTTCTTCTCTGGTATCTCCTGGCAGAGTTTATTCACACTTTGTGCATATCTCTATGTAAATATCGTACTGTATTTCATTTATCTAACACATCTGCCTTTGGCCAGATCCTGTTTCTCAACAGGAAAGTACTATATCCTGCCTAGGGAGGTATATCATAATCCCAGGGTTGGGGCAGGGGAAGGCGTGTGTCCAGTGAAAATATGATTGACAAGAAGAACTCAACCTCATTATCAGAATAGTCACAGTATATTTAATTTATTTCAGAATTTTAAATGACCCTTAAGGAAGGTGTGAGATATTATATTTATTAAAATTGGACATTAGTTGGAAAAAAGATCGGGAGTAAGTATGTCATGCACTGGAACTGTCTTATTTATCAGTTTATATCTACCTTTTACTTATTATGTGTATGTTGTCTAACACATACATAATAAGTACCCAGTCAATGTATATGGAATAGAAGGGAAAAAGAGAGTTTTCCTAAGCAAAGTTTGGTAATAAAAATACTTTTGAGTTCCCTTTTTCCTTGTCTTTTTTTCTACTCTTTTACTCTTTCTTTTCCTCTTTACTTTCTTAGAGAAGATATAATTATTTTATGGTTGATCAATCAAAATGAATACAATGTAAGACTTTGTATAAAATCCCATGAAGAGTTGAAGTGGATGCTACATAAAATATGTATTTTTTTTCCAGTTCTTCCTGTTTCTACCACGTTTGGGACTTTTATTATAGTCTGCAGGAGATTGAAGGGAAGTGGGGAAGGGAGCGATATTGTTGAGGGTGTCTCCCACTCTAGAGAACTATTTGAAGAACTGGAATGGATTCTCTAGGAAATCCTCCTCCCTAGAAAGTGCTGGGTAAAGTGTCAAGTTCATCACTTGCCATCTCTGTTCCACACTTATGATACCACACCATTGCCCTCTTTTCAGCATGCTCTGCGCCATATGTTGGTTCTTTTAGGATTATAAAATACATATTTTAAATTAATTACATTTTACTCTGGCTTCTTGCTGGTAACTTTGAGGGAGGCTCTTTAATTTGACTAGTAACAAGTTTCTCACCTACGCCTTGGTGAGATTCCTTCTGGTGAGGTTTCCTAGAGGAAGTTAATTTCATCAGTAATATGAAAACCTCAGCCTTGAGGTTCTTTCCTTCTAAACCTTGGGGCTTTTCATATCTTTTGGCTTTTGGCTGTTATCCACAGATTTATGAAGAAGATTTTTGGAGCAAGACCCAAAGCTCTTCTCCTCCCTTTTTAATAAAAGCAGTTTATTCTTTATTCCTTTCAAGCTTTAACAAAATTAAAAATTTCTTCTACCTTTTAAGTGAGTTATTTAAAGTTATTTCTATTTAGCCATTTACTTTATAATATTTATTGGTTTTTACTCTGTACAAGGCACCTGGGTATTTCCTGAATGGGCTACAAAGATGTATGAGGTATGGATTATGTGTCCAAGTAATTTATATTTGAAGAAAGGTACAAAATAAGTATATAAGAATAAACTGTTAGATATCCAGAAAAAATGAGAAAAGGGGCTACATGAGAATGGATATCACAGTTTGATTTTATTTATTTATTTTTGCGGTACGCGGACCTCTCACTGTTGTGGCCTCTCCCGTTGCGGAGCACAGGCTCCAGATGCGCAGGCTCAGCAGCCATGGCTCACGGGCCTAGCCACTCCGCGCCATATGGGATCTTCCTGGACCAGGGCACGAACCCGTGTCCCCTGCATCGGCAGGCGGACTCTCAACCACTGCGCCACCAGGGAAGCCCCACAGTTTGATTTTTGATAAGAAATTTTACTACTTGATAAATATGAGATTTCCAGTAAAAGTATTCATATTCATTCTTTATTTTTCTTCTCAGATAATGGTTCTGGATCTGGAGAGGGAGGTAAGTTTCAAATACCCCTTGAAAAAGTATTTTTTTTCTTTCACTTTTTAAAAACAGCCGTATTGAGATAAAATTCACATACCATGCAGTTTGCCCATTGAAAGTATGTAATTCAGTGGCTTTTAGTATATTCACAGAATTGTACATTCATCACCACAGCCAACTTTAGAACATTTTCATTACCCCGGAAAGAAACCCTGTACCCCTCAGCTATCACCCCCAATCCCTCTATCCCCCTTAGCCCTTAGCATTCTTTTTTTCCTGCATTTATTTTTCATTATAGGTTTGTTGTCAGACAAAGGGGAAATGTCGCTCCTGTTAAACTGAAGTTACACCAAGGTGCCCTCCCCTTAGGATCATCCCCAGATGATTTTAGCTTGGACCAGAGTATATGTAACACTCTCCCATCCCTTGCTTACAAATTTTTGCTCATAAGGAATTTTCAAGGTACAATATTTAAAAACAGTTTGAAAAACTAATATTTGGTAATTCAGTTTACTCTGAATTATTAGAATTGAGAATGACTGATCTATTTCGTGGTCTAATGAGGCTGTAATTCTTAATGAGTATCCACTGTATGCAAAGTAAGTTTGAGGTGCTCTGGGGATGCACTAAAAGAAGAAACATACTCTGGTAAAATTCACACTTATGCAAATGAAAACTACAGTTGTGATCCTTTCAGTACTATCTGAAACCTTACTCCACCCTTCTACATTTCATAGAATCCTAACATTTTAGAGTTGGAAGGGACTTTGAAGGTCACCTAGAGAGTAGAACTGTTCTGAGAAAGAATTTCAAGGATGACAGTTAGACCTTAAAAAAAAAAAAAGATTTAAACTGTCCAACAATAGAATTTAATTTAAATGGACATGTTCAAGCAGAAACTTCGTGATCATGTGTGAAGGATGAGATCATAAATTCTGGATCTTAAAGCTGGAAAGGACTTTAAAGGATCATGTGGTCCAGCCCCTGTGGTCAGATATTCAGTTAGGAAACTGTCATTGTTACTATGTTAAAGAAGTGGAAGTTGATCTCCAGATTTGCTTATATGGTACAAATACTGGATATCTTGCCCTGAGGATGTTGGTTGTTGGCAATTTTTTTTTAGGGAGTATGAGTTAGAAAGGCTAAGTGGTTTGCTCAGATTAATATACAAACTTTAGTGAGCTCATGGTGGCTGTATGATTTCTAGATCTCATTATGTTTCTGAGGCCTTAGAAATACTTAGGATTATGCTCCCTGGAATTGTTTCGGGAGTATTCATTAGAATTTGGGGAGGATTTCTACTTAAAGTGTAGGCAGACACACAAAATGGCCAGTTTGGTAATAGTACCAAACAGGCACTTAGGTTTGTGTGTGCTTTCCTTACAACATCTTCTCCGCTGATTGACACCCCCTCAGTAAGGTGTGCTTTCCCAAACCAGACTGGGAAATCCCTTGAGTAAACTGTAATCCCTAAATTGGCTTCAGAACTGATCTCCCTGCCCAGTTTGAGGTTATCAGGATAGGATCCACTCTAGTTAAGACCCAGGAGTATAGGGTTCCCTAAATGTGGGATATGAGCTGACTTGGGGGCTGGTGGTATGCACTGTTGTTTTGTGCTGGGTCATAGGAGATGCATACCCTTCTGTATTCTGGGTGTTGCTGGCTGTGCTAGGTGGTAAAGTAGAAAAGGGCAAGTCCTTTGTAAATAGACCCCTTTCATCTTCAAAATTTGGAGATAATTTTTAAGGCAAGTGTGAAACTGATGTGAGGAAAAGGTAGTGGTTAGACTCTGCTTTGTTTAATCACTTATTTGCTAACCTGGATTGCACAGGCTATTTCAATAGGGTAATCGCTGGACTAAATTTATTGCTCATGTTTTTTTTTTTCCTCTCTCTTATTTGATGTTATGGTAATTCTTTTAAAGAATCAACCAAATCTAGCATACTGTTCCGTTGTACTTAGGTTAAGGGATTATTTTTCTAGCCCCAGTACTTTTTTTTTTTCACAGAATATGTTGTACTCTTGTACTGACAACATTTTTGGACTCAAGCATTGATAGATTTTTGGAACTGATTTTTTTTCAAGAGCTTGGGTACATTTTCCCCAGAAATAGGATAATGGCTGCTGAAAACATGAAGCATATCTGGAAAGGATCCCAACTTTTGGTTGAAAATTTAATTTTTCTTTTTAAACAGAAGAGGAAGGGTCAGGGGCAGAAGTTCACAGAAAACACTCCAAGTGTGGACCTTGCAAATATAAAGCTGAGTGTGATGAAGATGCAGAGAATGTTGGGTGAGTTGATTGAGGGAAGGGGATACACTTACTTGGAGGTTAATTATCAGCGTTATTATATTATAGAAAGGTATCATCTAATTTGCTTCTGTGTATTTTGTGTGTGCCTTCTATTTTTTTTTGTTTAATGCTAGTCTACTGGCTTTTAAATTGATATAATACTATAGCTATTTAAGTGTTTTAGAATGGAAATCCATTTATAATTTTTTTCATTTTGCCACTGCCTTTTTTTCACTGATAGTTTTACATGTTTTATACCAAGTGCTAATTTTATTCATCAGAATTGCCCTTATTTGGAATTATCTTACTATTATATTTTTAACTAGTATCAATGATAAACAGTTTTTCTTAACTTGCATTTTTATACACAAACTTTTCATGTATTTCAGTGTATTAAGAAAAATTCAAAACATTCAAAATTTTAGAGATAGTAAGTAAATATTATATAATAAGTAAAAATTATTTCTGGAAATCTCAGCTGCACTGATTGACATTTTGTTTTATTTTCTCACTCATGTTCAGCCTTCACTAAGGTGGGTTTTGTAGCTGGACAGCATTGTCTGTCCAATTTCCTGTGCACTCCCTGTGAGAAGGGTGTTGTTTGGTGGAGTAGTAACAATATAGACCTCATCAACACAGTTATGTTTGTTTCTTCCTTTCATCAGGTTCCTGTTTGTTTATTCCCAGTCTCAACCTTCTTTCAATTCTCTGTGGTGCTTGCTTTTTGCATAGTTGATTCTAAAAGCTTTAATGCTGTCTTTAGGACCTTATGTAATACAAATGGATCTTCTTCACTTCCTCAATTTTCCCTTAGTGCATATTCTACAGCACTTATTTTATAGAGATTTGCATGTTCTTTCTTACTTACATGTATTTTCACTGTGAATTTCCAGACTCATGTTTTATTCAGCCCTTAAATGCCTATTTGAGCCTTTTACTGATCAATGGTAGTATGGTTTAATTAGCATTTATGCCCGGAATGAGTTTTACAAATCAGGGTAACCATATTTTCAGTATTTTGGTACAGAATCACCTATTTGTCTGGCACTTGGTAAAATTAAATGTCTGATAATTTACTTGATATATGTTTGAAAGTAGGTGAGAATTGGCAAAAGACACCGTCAATAAAAAGTGAATTCAGCAAACCCTGAGTTTGCTCTGTTTCTGCATATTGGTCACTTGGATTGACATGTCCCTCTGTTTCAATCAGAGTGGATTGATTTGTAAGAACATGTTTTCCAAAGTAGATTTTGGCCTGTAGAACATGAGAGAAATGATAGCAATGGGGACTTGCAGAGAGAACAGGTAATAGGTATTATGTTCTCTTCTTCTCTCTTTGTACTGATGATATGCATGATGAAACACCAGCATTTGTGTGTGTGTGTGTATTTTTGTAGATATTTGGTTCCTTTCAGTATTTTTCCTCAGGACTGTTCTATAATAGTGTTCAGATTCAGAATAGCTGTCAGTGATTGATTGGCTTGATCAGTTGATCTGTTGTTATTCCTTTGACAGTACCTCTCCTCAGTCCTATTTTTTACATTTCTCTGCTTTCATTTTTCATCCCTTAATTGAAAGAGATAGAGAGCTTTTGCTGGGAAGTAGAATGGATTCTGTGTAGTTTCAGAGGTGGCCCCAAGTATGACATCTATATGATAAAATACACATCTTTCTGTGTACCCCTTTTCTTGATGGAATATGTAGCCTATGCCCAATCAGAGCAACTCTGTTGTATATACTAAATTCATTTTGTGTGTGTCTATTTGAGAACTTGTAACTGCTGTTCTTGCGGGTACAGGCTCTAAGCATAAGAAAGTGGGCATAGACCAGGGAAGGGCTTACCAATAGTAAGGAGCATGCAGGCTGAGGAGCTTCCTAAGGAGCACATGGATAGATTGGGACAGGCAGCCAAGACCAGGCCAGGAAATTGATGCAATAATAGGAGAACATTAAGGAAGCAAACTGTACCTTTACCTAGAAAATAAGTACATATATACATAGTAATAATAGATATTAAGTAAAACAAAATTCTATAAAATAATACTTAACCTTTACTAAAAATAATGTATTCTAATATTTTCCATACTGATTATGACCTACAGTTAAAAAAATTGCTCTGTAATGTAACTATAATAGATATTTTATTTCATGTTACATTTTTAGGTATGGGTATTCATTTTCATTAAAAAAAATATTTTATCTTTTCTCATTTTGAAATGTCTTTCCTATGAAAAGAAATGCTATATATAACCTATCTGGTTTCCAAAGGGCAGCTAATCTTTTTTTTTCCTTTTGTAGTTGGTTAATTTATTATTATTTTTTAAAATTTCTTTTTTTATTGAAGTATGGTTGATGTACAATGTTGTGTTAGTTTCAGGTGTACGGCAAAGTGATTCAGTTATACATATATATATCTATCCTTTTTCAGATGCTAAAATCTTTCTCTTGCTTTACAACTCTTTCTTTTCTTTTTGCTAATAGTAGGAAAAAAAACTGGCTATTTGGGGGAGGGGATAAATGGTACCATGTAAGTTAATTTTCTGCTATTAAGAGAAGTGTAGTTTTTTATTTAGCCATTTAAATAGAAATTGATTTAAATATATTGTCTTAAACAGTATACAAAACATATTCTAACATATTCTTAGAGTCATATATTGTATAGTTTGTTACATTTTTCAAATGCTGTTATATAGATTATTTTTTCAGCTCTTTATGGCAGTCTGTCCAGTGGGTAGGGCAATGAAGTATTATCCTGATTTTACTGGGGGAGCTGAGCTCAGAAGAAGCTGAATGGCTGTGATCAAGCAGCAGAACCAGAACACAGGTCTCATGACAAGAGATTTATCCATTCTGTTGTGCACACACATGTGTAATACAATGATCTTCTCAGAGGCCACTGATGTTTTTAGTGGTAGCTGTTTCACGCCTACTAAAGGCTCCATTCTGCTTTGTGTTTTGGGTTCTACATTGTTTTATAAAAATGATTTTTCTTCTCCCATGTCAGGCTCTTCGCTGTTGCATCTGAGTGCTGTCAGTATGCCTTGTCAGTGATTCTGACTGTAGATGACTCCAACTTATTAATTGCCTCTCTGCTTCCCTGAAATGGGAAACAGTATGCTTGTAGAAACTATATCTAATGTAGGAATAAATTCTAAATGTAAAATCAGAGTAAATAGGTTCTTAGTGGAGTGTATGAACTTCAGATACTGCATGAATTTTGTCTCTCTTGTCTGCTCAGTGGCTATTTTATTTATAATTTAAATTGTTTTTGCTTATGAGAGGCTTTTTTCCTCTTTCTTCCCGAAGCACACTGTGTCTCTCTAATGGCATCGTGGGGCTTTGCATGGGTTTGTGATGGCTATCTTCATTGATGCTTACCTTTTGAATTTATACCTAGAGCGAGGTAGTTGAGGTTCCAAGAAATTTGACTCCCACATGGGTGAGGTTTCAGTATTCCACTGCGACCGTTGTGACATACAGTGGCTAGACTTTCTGCTTAGCCTTTTTTTTTTCTGCTTAGTCTTAAAACTTGGAAACAACACCTGCTTTACAGAAAATTGTATTTCTTAAACTACATAATCGTAGCAATCACACCCCCTCTTTATCTAAACAGTATTTCTAACCTGTCCAAGGCTGAGGTTATTGCTGCAAGATAACCCTCAGCTGTTTGTCTGGACAGTGGGACCAGATAATCATAGAACTCCTTCAGCCAGGTAGACCTTTTATATACCTGACCTAAATCCCTGCCATGAACGATTTGAATAGTCTGTAAAATCATCTGGCATAATGTCAGTACAGGCGAGTTATAAAAAACCTCCAATTATTCCTTTGAACTTTGTCTGCCATGTGCTTTATGGAAATTGTCCCTGCTCTTCTGCCTCTTTGATGTCAGTCATTTTGGAGATGCTGTTTCCCTTTTCCCCTGAGTGATGTAAGCTGTCAGAGTTGCTCAGAGAAAGAATCATGTAGGTGTGCAGTATGACAGACAACGTTGAGAAGCAGTTAATTCACCTGTTGGACATCTTTGTCATTTATGGTACCATTTTCTGTTTGGACACAGTTACTGGCCACTATCACAGTCTGATGAGTCTCTCCCTCAGAACGTGGAATGAAATTTTTTTGTTGTTTAAACAGAGAGAGTAATGCTGTACATCTGTCGTCTCCATTAACGTCCTCCTTTCTGGAAGTTGCATATACTTTTTAAAAAAAAGAACAACCAAAGGAGTACTTTTCTACCGTTATCTACTCTGCGCTTCTGCTTTCCTCCTAATCAGAGATGACAATAATTTTCATCATTTAACATTGCCTGACTCTGGATATTTGGAATCTAGACTTCTAAAACTACTTAGGTTTAATAAATTTCTACCAAGGCCCCTTAGACTATAATGGGAAAATAATTGTATGTTGTCCATTAGGCTCTGATAACAGGAAATAAACACTATTAAACGTTATTTCATACCAAGTATAACCCAGATGTTAATAATGACAGGCTCATTTGTCCAGAAATGCAGAACACAGTATCCCCATGGCCTCCTGCAGTTTGCTGAATGCTCTGTTACTCTTTGATGATTTGCCTCTGTTATTCTGTCTGCCTGAAGTCCCACCCCTGTATACCTACTTGTTTCATTCCTACTCTTCCTTCCAGCTTGGATGAAGTAAGACTTTAGCACCTCTTCCTAGCAGCCTCCCTTGCTGTTTCTGCAGTCCCTATGAGTTAGGTGACTAACTCTGTGTTCCTCCCTTGGTCTTGAGAAAAACAACCTCCACATAGCGCTTATACTGTTGGGATCACTAACAGATTGTGGGCTCCCTGAGTACAGGGACTTTGTCTTGCTGGTTTCTATGTTGGATTAACTTGCCATAAGGTTGGGTATCTTAGGGTCCCTCTATAGGTCTTGTTGAACTCGTGGCAGTTCACACAGGGCTTTCCTGTTGACTTAGAGGCACACAAAGGTTCATTGTGATGGTTTAACATGTGAAAAGGACTAGTAGTATTGTGA